AGTGCAAGACCAAAGGCTTTTGAATAGCACCAGCCCGAGGACGAAAGTTCACGCAAAGCCATCAAACAAGAGATACTACGATATCAGAAACATTCTACGGAAATTCTTTTTCAGTTGTGGCCCAGCGGTCGTGGCGCTTGCTCTTCCTGCCCATATCCCCAACGCTGGCCCCAAAAATAGAACGCTTCATGTCTCCCACACCCAACGATTAGTAACAAGAAGCTAGTAAGTTGGAGGCCATCGCTATTAGGTTGAAGGCCATCGCTACTAGGTTGGAGGCCATCGCTACAAGGTGGAGGCCATTACTACTGGTAACAAGAAGCTACTAGTAGCTCCTGGCATTACTACTGGTAGCATCTAGTAGCAAGAAACTATCGCTCGTAAATGAGCAGCAAAGGTGGTGCTTACCTCCATAGAGTCCAAAACTCTGGGGCCACGACCAGTTCACCAGGAACATTGTAGACCTCATGGACGCTTGGCGCCAAGGTGTCTTGAGTCAAGGTGTGAAATCCTCTGCCCTCAGTGCGTTGGACGCCAACTCGTGAACTGAGAGCGAAAAAAATGGCTTGAAGCCTTGAAGCACCACAGTGATTCGGCTATTTCATGCTCCGTTATCCCCTGATTAGTTATGCCAAACCGAAAGCCACAAAGGGCGACCCGTGGATAAAGAGGTCATCAGCATGGTAAGATTTCGCACGTTGACCTGACACCATCTACTCCATTCATCGAGCAGCAACGCTAAAACTGCTGATGACATTGTCCAGGTGTAAGCTTCACAATTTGCATGTATTTCCCCCCCATGTAGGCCACGTGTTTCACGCAAGGAAGCTTGGCCACATGGTTTATTGGCCAAACCTGTATGATAGCGTTTGTTCTATTCCCAAGCCGCACACCACCTTCCAAGAGCTCCACTGTCGCGTGATCTTGAGCGTCAAACAGCTTGAGCATCGGAACGAACGATCATCAGGAATCAGGTAGACTTGATAGTGAGTCGTGAGTCTGTTGTTCCGCAGCTCATACTTGCAAACGAAGGACGCTTCGCTGGCTTTTTGAAGCCCATGAGGAATAATGCGCGGGGATTGAGCTTGGTGCAAGCTTTCCCTTGTGCATCACCCAAACGAATGGTTCACCAAGGAAAAGACCCATTGTATCCTAGAATCTAGGAACCAAATCATTAGTGCGAGTGCTTCTTTGAAAAAGCATGAGCTATCCTGCGTCCAGTTACTAGTTCCAAGTAGCTAGGAGCTTACTAGTCCCTTACTTAATTAAGGAGTAGACGCCTACTTAATTAAGTAGGGAGGGGGGAGCCGGCTAACAAAAACAAGTGAATAACCCTGAAGACGTGTTTTCTCAATGAGGTAACTAATTCTCCCCACCCCCGAATTAGGATGTGGCAGTAGACGAAGTCCCTACTTTGGCCAATACCCCGGAAGTTCTGCACAAGGCTTGTCCTGCTGCTTCATTGTCGTGCAGACGGGTTGTTGCAAGTCCTGACATGTCATGCCACCATGCATCTTGGAAAGCCAGGCAAGGATGTTCAAGATCCAGAAGTTTCTTTGAAAGGAAGGGGTAGATGAATTTCTTTGTGTCACATCATCACTGCGTCCCGCCCCATACCTGAAGTGTCACACTAAGGACTGCAGCGTCTGCTTACTGCAAAGCCCTACTATCCATGCACTGGATTCAACATGCATTTAAAAGCACTCTTCAGAGCCTCCTCTAGATTGGCACTGGTGTCTTGTCTGCGTGTGGGAAGGTTCCAATACTTTTTCTCATTTGCTAGAAACGACAAGAAGTGTTGCCAGCGCTCTGTCATGGTCATGTATCTGTGTCACTTGCAACAAACATAGGCTAAGTGGTAGACTTCTCTTCAAGTGCATTTCAACCTCTCAAAAGGAAGCATCTAGGTCCCTAGGTGGTACTTAGAGATCCTGACAAAAACATGTTGAAGAGTCTGTAAAAACAAGCATGTGTTCCCCGATCTCTTTCGATTGAAAATGCATTGGTCTCTTCGAAACGTAGGAGTGCGTGTTTCGACAAGTGCATTTTAAGAACGCGCGGTTCGAACGCAGGAACGTGCGAAATTTTGTCACTTAGCACAAGGTGGTTGTTGTTAGAATTCTCCGCTATCAGCGGGAAACTCAAGGCAATGTTGGATGGAACATCTCCCTTGAGAGTAAATGGCCTGCTTTGTGTCCTTCCGGCTATCACTCCCAAACAGTGTTAAGAAAACAACAAAAGGAAAAAAGTTATATTGGCTGGAACAATTGACAGTGGCATGCAACAATTTCCAAAACATTCAAGTGCCACGGGCCCTGAGTTTACAATATAATAAGGCTCTGAAGATGTCAAGGGCCCTTCCGGATGCCCTCACTTTGGATTTCAGGCGCCCGCGGCTCCGCTGGCGATTAAGGCTGGCATGGCGGATGATCTTTGCTGCTTTGATAACCTGACTTTAATGAACGGTTGCTCATAAGCTTCAAGAGGGATTTGCGAAAAGGCCGTGGGTTTTCTCCGCCTGAGTGCCAGTTATTCCAAGGTCAGATCAGACCTTTAGAAAATGATGTTGAATCACAGGACAACATTAAAGCCGTTTTGTAGACCCATATAGTTCAGAAATCCGTGCACAACACATTTGCGTGTGAACACGGAGCACAAACAAAGGCACTTTAAGAAAGTTGAGACAATCCTCGGTGCCACACCTGGTGCTTTCACTGATTGGTAATCCCCAACATGTTCAGTTGGGATGATCTCGCCAAGCAAGTTAGGTCGAATTGAGAAGAACAATCGCTCCTCATCCGTCTAGCAAAGAAGAGGTTTTATAACGTTGATGATTTCGATAGTGATTCGACAGCATGATTGGGTATTTCAGTGGTGAACATAACACAGAACCGCTGGAAAGGTCCACAAAACAGCTCTACGAGTCTACGAGGTATTCAACGGCATGCCACAGCATGTCCCTCAGTAGCAGCTATGGGCCTGTGGGGCCAACTGCGCTGAAGACCACGAGCCACGCTCCATTGTGGGATACTGTCATTGGCAGGCTCTAGAACTAAGATGGCGTCACAGTTGAGTGTCAAAGTAGCCCAGCTTCCCAACCCAACAGCAAACAGCAGATCGATATATAGCATGTCGTTGGAAAGTTCACACGATCCTCTTTCCCTCACATGCAAAGTTGTTGGGTTGTCTCTGGCAGTACCTGTACAGAAAGCTCTCGGCCCATGTTTCTCATTGACCTCACTGTTGCTACAGCCAGTCTGAAGCCAGAGGTCGCACATCGCAAGCGGTCAAGCGCCTACTAGATCCTACTAGCCTGAAGCGAAAATCCAAGAGTGCACCAGCCTCAAGACGTGGAGAGATACCCAGACACAGCACCAATCAGCAAACACAGGTCATTCGCTAGCTGAAGCTTGCCGGTTCTGTCTGGGATCATACACCACACGTGATGTCACCCGCACATGCCCATGGGAAGACTGCCACATGCACCATCACCAGCCATTCCAATAATTCGGATTCGCTTTTGCGCGGTCTGTCTGTGGTCATACCCACAACCAGTAGGCCACAGGTCACTAACGCATACGTGCAATGCTCGGATACATACAGCCATGGCACACAGGGCTCAGAATTCTCTCCTCTTCTCTTTGGCACCGCAGAGCAAGATCCCACGAAGTTATTGAAACAAAGTTTCAAAACAAGGGACGCAATTCCACACAGCCAGCTCGGCTCAGCAAATACTGTCATGATCCGGAGAGCGTTTCCATACACTTAATCCTCCTTCAAAGTCCCTCACCCAGCCGAGCAAAAAGGGCATTCTTCATCATGAAGCTGGCCCGATCAAATGGGGCACGCATACGCGATCGCTCCGCATGGCTTGCAAGCAATACCTTCGTAGCACTGCTCGCCCTATCCAGCTTGTTCACGACGTCCCCAATGGAATTCGTTGGGTTTCTCACGCCTTCACGTCACAAAAAAGAGCAGCACTAAGTTGAATTTTGGCCACGCCAAATTTTGCATCTGCGGGTTTTTACTCCAAGTGCAGCTTCAAGTACTGAAACAGTTCTCTCCCGCGCGCCGGCGGTGTTGGTACCAAGCTGTGGCGAGCGCAGCAACCAACAAAGACAACTCGAAAAGCGCGGACCGTTGTCCTTCAAAACAGTGATCAAATGCTACTTGTCAACTCAAATGCTACTTGTCAACACACCATGACTATTTCACCCGATTTTGTTTCTTGTCTGGCATAAGCAAGCGTCTAGCGCGGTGGCCTGCATCAGGTTCAACAATTTCCAAGACGATGTCGCAATGACAACTCAAAAATAATCCCATAGTTCGGCAACGGCCCATGGAAAGCCTTCACCCTGCATGGGTTGCGAGCAGTGATGCGTCCATGCCCAAACAGCTGCAAAGCCAAAGACAGAAGCTTCCAACAAAAGAAACATCACGCATTCTAATCAGCCCTACTATTCCTGGAGCTTGTGCCTCTTGTCGCAGGCTGTCATGCCAGACTTGAACAGTGCAGCCGAGTTGGTCATGCGGCATGCGTGAGAAGACATTGCTCCGTCGAAAGATCCGTTTGACAATGACGAAGTCCTTGACCGATGTTCAGACCTACCGTTGACGAGGTGTGCTCCTGCAAACAGAAACCCAAGCAGAACTATGACTGCAAGACTGTCTCCAGGCATGCAGGCAAAGCAGCCTCGTCCAAACACCATCACAATCATCTGAAAGTAAGACAACAGATCTCCTCTCAACCATTCTGGCACCCATTGCGGCGGTGGTGTTGCGCCACTCTAGACACAAATGACACAATGCATGTCACAGGATTGTCTATCACGCATTCATCACATGTAACCTCGAAGCTGAAGGAATGCCTGCGAAAACATCATGACCAAAAAGATCTGCGTCCACGTTAAGCCTGAATGTAGCCATGCTCACAAGACTCACAAGCTGTTTCATGCTGACCTTGAGACTTGCTGCTGCTCGCACAGCAATAGATCAAAACACCACCTAACACAAGGTCTCAAAATCCTTCGAGCAAAGAACAAGCCCGCAGTGTGAAGGAATTGTGGGATTCCCAGCCACAACGATTCCATAATTCTGGAATTCCAACTTTCAAGAGTCCCGAGTTCTCCAACAGGGTTGGAAACTTAAAGGTTCAAGGACAATCTCCTTCTCCGAGGCCTCGAGACTTCTCTAAGATTGCAGTTGCAAGGTTCCAGAGCTTAATTCGTCTTCTTCTTCTTCTTCTTCTTGTTCTTCTTCTTCTTCTTCTTCCTCCAGAGCTCTTCAAGGTTGCAAGTTTCCAGGGTTCCTTCTTCTCCTTCTTCTCCTCCTCCTCCTTCTTCGGTCTTTCTTCCTTTTCTTCTTCCTTCTTTCTTCTGTCTTCTTTGTTTGTTTCTTCCTCTACAGTTCTTCAAGGCTGCAAAGTTCCAGGGTTCGAGGAATCCAGCGTTCCAAGGCGCTATAGGTTTTGGCCCGAAAAGACAGACGATGCACAACTCCTAGGCCAAGAGATTGAAACCCAACACCATTACGTTATTACGTTAGGAACAACTCCCTGCACCAATGTGGTGCTTGGTTTAAAGGGTAGTTACTCATCCAAGAGCATCCACATCCACCCGCATCCAAGGAGGCTGACTGGTTTAATCTTGATTGAACATGAATCCGTCTAAACTCTGTTGAGTCAAGAACAACAGGGAGGTAGTACAGAGGTACCTTGCGGTACTAGTAGAGGAGATAGAAATAGAAAGCACACTTCTTAAAGGCCACATTCTTGTTTCAAAAAGACGTGCTGGTGGAAGAAGCAAGGCGTAGTTGAGGCTAAGACCCAAGAATCAGAGACTGTCAGTAAGAGTAAGAGCATCTCCAACTGCAGCCGTGTGTCCTCCGGCCTATTCACCTATTCGCTGTTCCACGGCACCTTGTGGCTGCAGGGCACTGCACGGACATTCGGATTGCTACCTAAACCATCGTACCATGTGACTGGATCCTTCCGTTCGTGAGTACTTAGTGCCGTTCATCTGCATCAACGAATCCAGGGATCCAAAATAAATCTTTCAAATTCTGACTATTGAGGACCTCACTATGCATCCATGTTGCAAGGAATCCAGGGCCCCGTACGTCGGACA